AGCTGCTGGTCAGTTTCAGCAGCAGCTGAATTGGGGACACCTGGGGTACAATATCTACCAGTTCCCACTTACATACAAATTCAATTTAAGAACAAACCTACAGTCCCTATCTTGTACGTAACCCGGGGACTGCCTGTATTTTATATGTTGCTGCAAAACAGGGTAGTTATGTTGGTGCCATAGTAGATTTTTTTTTAACAAAAATTTTACAACTTCTAACATAAAACAGCCAATTTTTAAATACTTGACTTGTAATTATATGGTATAAAACTAAAAAAAGTTACTCCAGCACTTCATTTAATTTGAAAGCATGTTATCTGTTGACTGTAAGGCACTTCATTATAAGCTATTTTAACTCAATTTAAATTAAGTAGATTTATTTACATACTCATTTTAATTTTAAAATTAATCTGTTAATCCAGAATTGGTGTTTACTAGAAAGGCATCACTGTGTATAAAAGAAGATTTGGTTTCATGGTATGAAAAGAATAGTAATGCAACATCAATAGCTGTTGGTAGAGAATTTAAAACATGTTTTTGTCTAATTCCTCTACAAAGTGGGGAAGTTTCAGTAAATGTGGTGAACAAATTTGTCAGATTAATTCATAAATATGCAAGAGCACCTGTGTTTTAAATATGCTCATGACACTTAGTAACAAATAGTTACTTTCAGGGTAGCTAATCTTCAAATTATTCCTATTATTTTTTTTAAGGTGTTTTATTGTCAGCATGAGTAGTTTTCCAAAGAAAACTCTATTCCATGCAGATGCCACTATTCTTTAGAAGTTCTATACAGAGATCAAATGTAGAAGAGACTAGAAAGTGTGAGTTGGGAGGTCTAGTGGAGAGCTTCTCAGTCTTCAGATGAGACTCAAGTTAGGATATGTTCCCTCCTGGTTGCGTGTGTGTGTACAGAGGATGACTAACATCTCAAAATTAGTGTGTAATATATCATTCCTCCGGAGATGAAATACAGACAATATGCAAGTAGAAATTGATAATGGAATTCTTCAAAAGTGCCCCTAGGTGTGAGAAATGCTCAGTAAATATGGTAATGTGGTTTGGATGCTGCAATGTTATGTAAACATTTCTTATATGAAAATTGTATTGAATTCTTGTTATACATGCGGTATTTCTGTTTGTCTGTGTGTACCTGTCTCTGGAGGTCTGTAGTAGGTTGTTGGTAGGGACATTTTGGTCTGTGCGAGGTCATTCTACCTCACTATGTTCCTGTGTGTCGCACACTGTTGGAGAATTAGCAGGGCAACATGCAGCCTTGGGTCCTGGCCTATAGTCAGGGCAGAGTAGCAAACATAGTTAAGACTCCAAACCCTTAATAACAATAGTCGCAAACTTGGGCTTGTATCTGGAGTTGAGCAACAAATACAGTTAAGGGGCCAAGAGCTTAGTCAGGTTGGGGCAACAAGTCATTAGGGCTCTGGCAGAGGTTGAGCACTGAGACCCAATGTAGGAGGCTTCGGCAGGGTTGAGCAGAGTCTAGCGTCCTAGTTTGGTGGACTCTAGGCTGATGTAGGCCTCCTGGCCTAATGAGAAGTACTGCCACCCTAGGGGGTAACAGGTGGGGACATAGGCCTGCCCAATTCCACAGCATCCCAGCCCAGGGCACTGACAATGACAGAATAGCTTGCACGGAGTCAGCGGGGAATCCAGCCACAACACGCTGACCAGGTCTCTGGAAACAAGGCAGCCGCACTGGAGTCAGCTATCCCTGGGCCTCTTCCCTCCTCCCACTCAGGTTGTATGTCACAGTAGAAGGCCCACAGCAGTCCCATCAACACCTCTGTGGCTTTTTCAATTCTCTCTTGGTGGCTCCAGCAGCTCTGCTCAGCCCTCAGCCCTGCAGGGGCCCATGACAGTCGTCCAGCTTTGGGAGAAGGCAGGAGGCCTCTGGCTCCTTTGGTGGCTGCAGCCCAAATGAGATCCCAGACCTACTTTTATACTTCCGATCCTGCTATTGACTTTGGTGGGAGGGATGCACATGGTCTGACTCCACCCACCAGAGGCTCAGTGAATGGTTCCTCCTTCTCTGAGTCTGTGGGAGGCCACCTCCCTCTCGACAAGGTCTGATAATGAAATGTACCTTTTGATGGAATTGACTGCATTACAATGTCATGGTGAGTCAGTTAATTAGAACTTAACTTTTTTTGTCCACTCAGGTTTGTCTGATTCCTAAATCTGCTCATGGTACCAACCCAGCCAGTGCCCATATGGCAGGGATGAAGATTCAGCCGATTGAGGTGGATAAGAATGGAAGCATTGATTCTGTCCATCTAAAGGCAATGGTGAGTGTCGCGTCGGCTGCTTACATTGGGAGGGAAGGGACATTCTTCTTTCTTTCTGGGTAATAGATTGTTAGCTGTAGAGATTTTCTGTTATGTGGGAAAATAGTGCAAATGCTAGATACCTGTTTTAAAAATAAAAAAGTCACTTTTCCTTTTCTTGCTAGCTTAGACACAAGCCATTAAACATCTAAGCCCTCTTTTAAATCCTGGGGATCCTCTGTGGAAATGGTTGAAAGAGTCTGTACATTGTAGCTTCTTCCATGGCAGCATTGTTTCCTCCCTTCTCTCCCCCGTGCTCAGTATCAGAGGCGAATGAAGCAGAATCATGTGATTCTCAAACATTTGTAGCTGCACTTTAACCTTCACCTACTGGGTAAGATGTTGCTAGGCAACTGCCTCTGCATCTCTGAATTGACTGCTGCAGATGAACCTGAAGAAGTGGCAGAATATACTTACAAATATTTTGGGGCAGTTTGGTATTGAAATGATGATTGCACCACTGCCATAGGGGAGGGGGGAGACTGACAGCCCATTTCCTTGAAAAAGTGAAAGATCAGTTTTGTTAACCAATGAATACAACTTGTCTAAAATCTCTCTCAGGTTGTGATTAAACTTGCATTTCGCATTCAAGTGACTGTGCACATATTCCTTACACTGTAGGGGTGTGTGGCCAGGGCATTCAAGTTGAAGACTTTTGCCAGCAGTACCAGTAGGCAGCACAAGTGCCCTGGCCACACTTGTGTGTGGAACTGAGGGCATGAAAAAGGGCATGACTGCTGCCTTCCTCTCAGTTCCTTCTTACCACCCATGGCAAGTTTGGGCTCACCTCCATTCTTGAGCCTCATTTAGCTTCAAAATAGCTTTTCCCTTGTGCATAATTGTATTCCACTTCTGTGTAGTTCTTCTCTAGTTTCTTAATAGCTCTTTGGAGGTTTGAGAGTGTGCATGCCAGAGCCAGGCCCCCCCCCGACACTAACCCAATGCCTCCTCTCCCCCCACCACCCAGCCAGCTACCACTGCTCTATTCCAATCCCCCCCCCCCCCAGAACCAGCCCCCCCCCGGCTCTAACCCGGCTCCTGGAGTTGGAGCCACGGTGTGGCACGTTCATGGAGGTGCGGGGCACATGCTCTGAGTGGCCAGCCTTTAGCATGAGCTGGCTGGGATGCAGACCACAAGGGAGGGACATGAGCATGAGCAGAGCGGTGGAGTGAGTACGCACTGAATGTGGCTCAAAGTGGCCCGGCAGTGAGCAACCTTGTGTGGAGCAGTCAGCATGGTGATAATTTATTTTTTTTTAAACATTTTATCAGGAGCCACAATTTTTTCATCAAAGAGCCACATGTGGCACGCGAGCCAAGGGTTGGCCACTGCTGATATTGTATGTATAGTTGTGATTATTTTTTTCCAATGTTCTTTACTTTACATTTATCAACATTACATTTCATTTGCCATTTTGTTGCCCAATCACTTACTCCTGTTTTTTGATCCCCAAACTATGTAGCACTTTAAAGACTAACAAGATGGTTTATTAGGTGATGAGCTTTCATGGGCCAGACCCACTTCCTCAGATCAAATAGTGGAAGAAAATTGGCATGACCATATATACCAAAGGATACAATAAAAAAAATGAACACCTATGAAAAGGACAAATCAAACTTCAGAACAGAAGGGGGATGAGGAGGGGAGGTAAATGTCTGTGAGCTAATGATATTAGAGGTGATAATTGGGGAAGCTATCTTTGTAATGAGTAAGGTAATTAGTGTCTTTAAGACCTAGGTGTAAAGTGTCAAATTTAAGCATGAATGACAGTTCAGAGGACTCTTTCAAGTCAGGTGTTAAAATGTCTTTGAAGCAGGATGCAGGTAATCAAGTCATTGAGACAATGCCCTTTCTGGTTGAAATGGCAAGAAACTGTTTTTTCTTTGTGATCCTGTCTAATATATGTTTTGTGGGCATTGATTCTTTGGTGCAGTGTCTGAGACGTTTGTCCAATGTACATAGCAGATGGACACTTTCGATACATGATAGCATAAATTATATTTCTGGATGAGCAGGAATATGTGTTCTTGATCTTATAACTCAATTGGTTAGGTCCAATAATGGTATCAGCAGAGTGAATATGTGGACAAAGCTGGCAACGGGGTTTGTTGCAAGGGAAAGTTCTAGGGTTGGTATTAGCGTGGTATGTCCTGTGGTTAAGAGTCATCTTGAGGTTAGGTGGTTGTCTATAGGAGACTATGGGTCTGTCTCCCAGAGCCTCTCGGAGTTTAGTAGCCTGTTCCAGTTTAGGTTGTAGTTGATTGATTGATTGATGCGTTGGACAGGTTTAAGTTGGGGGCTACAGGTGATAACAAGTGGTGTTCTGTTGTTGGTTTTCTTGGGTATGTCTTGAGGTAGATGGTTTCTGGGTATTCGTCTGGCTCTTTCAATTTGCTTTTTTATTTCTCCAGGTGGGTAGTTGAGGTTTATGAATGCTTGGTAGAGATCCTGAAGTTTCTGGTCTCTGTCAGTGGGATTAGAGCAGATGTGGTTGTATCGAAGGGCTTGGCTATAGACGATGGATCGTATGGTGATTCTTACCAACAGCTACAGAACATACCACACTAATACCAACCCTGGAACTTTTCCTTGCAACAAACCCCGTTGCCAGCTTTGTCCACATTCACTCTGCTGATACCATTATTGGACCTAACCACTCTCTACAGAAAACCCACCAACTCATACAGTTACCTACATGCCTCTAGCTCCCATCCAGAACACACTGGTTTGCAATACGAAGCTGCAGGCTTCCCATGGCATAGGTTTTCCTACGTAGGAGGTCCAGCTTTTTAAGGTCTTTAGCCTTTGGTTTTGGCCCCAGAGGTCCCTGATGCTCCTTTTGCCCCGCTGCCTGCACAACTATGGACCCTGGAGGCGGGATGGGTAAAAAGATGTACATGCCCCACTTGTGGCATATAGTAACGCCTTTCTACCCCTTTGTGTTGGTGCGATTGACTCTGGCGTTTGCCACAGGGTCTTTGACAACCTATCGACAGTCTTGTTCAGTGGTAGTGCCACACGACCCGGGCCTGATGCCGACAGGATATCTACCATGGGGTCCAGGTCCTTGTGGATGTCTTCAGCCTGCACAGCCAGGTTGGCTGCCAACCTCCTTAGCAGGTCCTGGTGAGCCCTGGCATCCATGGAAGGGAGTTGGGGTGCCGGGTCTGCCAGAGCCTCATCCGGTGAGGACGATGACAACTCTCTCGGTGGCACTTGTCCTTCCTCACACTCCGGTGCCCTGAGGGGGGTGCCCTTGGGCTTGATGGTATGCCCAAGGTGTCCAGAACAGCCGCAGCGGTTGTGGTTGCCACTGCGCCTGCCACTGCTGCTGGTCTGCCGAGTCCCTTTGCCCAGATCTGAGACTTGAGCGTGACCGATGGACGATCTGGCTGACCGCACGGATTCTGCCACGGACTCTGAGGAATAGTCTGATGCCGACCTGGAGAGGGAAGACGAAGCTTGTTCCCTCTAGTGCACGGTCATGGCCGATGTCTTACCCCTGTGCCCTGGTCGCGGTGCCAGGAGAGGCATCTGTTGGCCTGCATAGTGCCCATCAACATCTGATAGACTGGGAAATAGCCCTGTCGTGCTGTGGCTGTCAGCGGCATCGAGGGCTGCTGCACCATAGGCACCATCTGCCTCTGTCCCAGTGCCGTAATAGGTACTGAGAGAGGCATCAGCGCCAGTGCCCTGTATGGTGCCAGTTGCACCGGTGCCGTCATGGTGGGCATAACGCTCGGTACGGGGGCCTGCACCGTCAAGGGTCTTATCAGCAGTGCCACCTCCTGCAACGCATAGTGGGGCACTGTATACCCCGTTGCCGTCAGAAGTGACTGAAGATGCCCCATCTGTCCCGGCACCATCTGCTGTGCTGGGGCCTGCGCCATGCTCTGAGAGTTCCATGACCCCGATGTCGGTGCTGATGGGAGGATGCTCGTGCCGTGAGAAGGTGCAGCCTTCAGCTGCAGCGCTGGGACTTCTCCCTCGGTTGCAGTCAGTTCGATGAGCTTTCTTGTGGCATCGAACGTCTCTGGGGTAGAAGGGCGCTGAATCCCATCCCTGTAGCCTGCCCTGGGCTCTGAGCCTTGTCCAGGCTGCGCCTTCTCCTAGGCGCCTTGGAGGTCAAGTGCCCCTCCTTAGGGTGCACATTGTGGGCACGTCTTGCCATAGACCGGCCCCTCGAGCCTTTAGAGCTCCTCGGTGCTGGCGACTGTGACCTGTGTCTGGGCACCTTCAAGACGGCCGTTTGATGCTTGGCCGGTGCCGAGGCTGAAGCGGACGGTGCGCTGTGGACAGAGTGAGGACGTTTCTCACTCGGAGGCTGCAATGCTGACTCCATCAACAGGAGCTTTAGCCTAGGGTCTCTTTCTCTCTTGGTCCTGGGCTTAAATCCTCTACAGATCGAGCAGCTCTCCTCTCGCTGGGCCTCTCCGAGGCACTTGAAATACAAAGAGTGCAGGTCGCCACAGGGCTTAGGCTTTGAGCACGAACCACGGCTTAAAGCCTTGGGAGCCTGGCATCCCCTACCCTGATGGGGAGAATCCCACTGAACTCTTTTTTTCAACTAATTACGCTATCCAACAACTACTTAACAGGTACTTAACTACTGATTCTAACTATAATACAGGAACAGATGAGAAAACAAACTGCTATGGGACAGGCAGATAGCCGTAACACATGCTCCAGCTACTGTCACTGGCGGTAAGAAGGAACTGAGGGGGTAGAGGGGCCAGCAGGGGTATATATGCACCGGTATACCAGCACCACTCCAGGGGACTCCCTGCCTGGCCCTATGGAGACTGCTAAGGGAAAAAAGCTCCGGAGTCCATGCACGTGGCGTGCGCACATGTAATCAGAATGGACATGAACAAGCACTCGAAGAATGCCATGATTCTTTTTACACCCTTGGCTCCACACACAAGGGGACAGAGGCACACGTGCTGCCTTGTAATACTTCCGGCAAAGTCTCTGGCTCTACTGCATGGGGTGTACACACACTTGTATGGTGGCCTGGATGTGTCAGCCATATATATCTTGAGTGCCCATTATTGTACAGGCAGGTAACCATGTTTCATACTCCTTTTTTTCCCCTCAAACTATTGTTGATTTCATTTAGTCCTGGTGAAGAACAAACATTTCTACAAAGATGCTTCTGAAGGAAAACTAGAACTCATCAGACATTTGTCATTATAGAAAATTTGTGAATAAAAACATATTTTGACTTAGATGGTTAAATTTCTCCAAAGTCTACAACTTAGCACTAACTGCATGTGCCAGGTAGGAAGACTGGCAGTTATGACAGTAAATTTGCCTTTTGCTTGAGGAGATGGGTAAACTTGTTTTCAGGACATGAAACACTTGTGCTGGTGTACTTGATTTTTATGAAAGAATTTTGTGACCTCCTAGTGACCTTCTTCATCCCCTGTTTTCCTAAAGGTAGAGAAGCACAAGGATAAATTAGCAGCCATCATGATCACATACCCGTCCACCAATGGTGTGTTTGAAGAGGAAATCAGTGATGTGTGTGACCTGATTCACCAACATGGAGGCCAGGTTTACCTAGACGGTGCAAACATGAATGCCCAGGTATGAATCTGTTAAATCGATTTTTAACTATCAATTATTGGTGGTGGGCAGTAACTTCCAGAGAAACAATAAATGTCAGTTCTCACACGTTTTGAATCATATCACAGCTGCACCGTGAGACTAATATACCATACACATGCATGGGAAGAAACTGAGGTTATCAAAAACACCAGTAGAATTTGGATGGCAAAAAATACTGACACAATTCGGGTCAGCATCTCTCTCTCTCTTCTGACAAGGTTTTTAAAGCTGCACAATTCCCTGCCTCACAGATGATACTTCTAGCAAACCAGATTGTCCAAACAGCCCAGTGGCTGTGCTTTGCTTTTTCTCTCCAGAGGCTTTGAACAGCGGTTACAAGTTACCACCTAGCTCCTTATAAGCATGCACATTTGCTGAGGTGAAAGCTTTGAAGAGAAAACACAATAAAAGAACCTACATACATACACGAAAGCTTACCAGAGGTCACCCATCAGTCTGATGGGGCCTTCATAGATCAAGTCCTTCCATCCCTTCTGCAAGTATAGTTTTCTCTGTTGTTCCAAAAAGTCTGAAAGTTTAAAATTCAAAGTTTTTATTCAAAAGTCATGTCAGTTCAAACTGGATTCTCCACAGGCTAATCTAAGAGGATACCTCCTTGGAAGGGCTACAACCTGTCTTGTGTTAATCACCACCTTTTGTGTGTAGTTCCTGAGAGCTATTGTAAAACACTCTTACAAAACTATGATCTTCAAACAATGTACCTGAAAGAAACTTAAATCACTAAACTCTCCCAAGAATATGCAGGAAACTTCTGCATACCACACATAATTTAAAATGGGCTAAATGCCGAATAAGCAGAAATCGAGTATGTAGAATTATTTGTAATGTTCTGATCTGATTCAGAAGATGTCTGTGAAAAGTATCTGCAAGGCCAGAATAATCTAAAACCTTTTTATCTAGTCTAGGTGTCTGTTATATGTTCAGATGAGAATTTAACATTTGTAAAAGATGTTAAACTTTCCTATACTTAATGGGGATAGGACCTTTTAAAGGCAAACAAATTACCTTAATTCTAACAAATTTTTGCATCATTTGTGCAAATGGGCACAAATTGAAGAAACAACACTAATATGTTGTTCGTCATTAACAGATACAACTTTCTACAATGGTGACACCTCCCTGTCAAATGACATTGATGAGATCAGTTTGCACGTGACACTTATATTTTCTGAGTCCTCATTTGAGCCCTTTTGGTGATGATTCTTTGACAGGTGGGTCTGTGTCGCCCTGGAGACTATGGATCTGATGTGTCTCATTTGAACCTTCACAAAACCTTTTGCATACCCCATGGAGGAGGAGGACCTGGAATGGGGCCAATTGGAGTGTAAGTATCTGGCTCTAGCTCTCAAATTTACTTTGAGAGGAAAAGGGACCCTAGTTAAATTGTATATAACATTCCTATTGAAAGTAAGGGACCCTATCACTGATACGAGGATGGCTTTGTTTTGGCAGTTGTATACATTTCTATTCCAAGACTGGCATCTGAATACCGTTTTGTAGCCTTAGTACCTGGTTCTACTCCCAGTACACTAGAATCTTGACAAGCACCCACACCTTGGTGATTCTGCAGCCAGGCATATCCACTGTGCTAAACTGTGTACAGGAACTTAGTGACGTGGATCGATGTTTGTTAGATGTAGATATAGCACAAAGCTTATGAGTATCAGGCTATGTCTACTCTCGCGGTTTCTTGCACGAGAAATATGCAAATGAGGCTAAGCGTGGAATATCGCTGAGCCTCATTTGAATACCCAATGTGCCGCCATTTTTGCAAAAGAGGATCTTGCGCCAGAAGGAGCTGTCTATACTGCCCCTTCTTGTGCAAGAAAAACCCTCTTGTGCAATGCCGTTATTCCTGAAAATAATTGGTGTAGTAGCATTGTGCAAAAGCGTTTTTGTTGCACAAGGGGCAGTGTAGACAGCTCCTTCTGGCACAAGAGTCTCTTTTGCAAAAATGGCAGCTCATTAGGTATGCAAATGAGGCTCAGCCATATTCCACTCTTAGCCTCATTTGCATATTTCTCGTGCAAGAAGCCGCAAGAGTAGACAGAGCCTCAGTGTTTTACATAGTACAAATAGTGCATTGAGACTAGGAGATATTAAGCAAAGCTAGTTTTTATTTAAATGGTGCTAAGAAATCTGCCTCACTGTGGCAGTGGCTCCCTATCTCTTTGCAGTGGGTTAGCAGATGGAAGTTCCCATAGCTCCCTTGCACTATCCATTATCCTGGAAATTTCTTTTCTATACTTTTTTGTTTTTCTCTCAATCGTAGAATGCTACATGCTGTTCTGGGTAGATGGGAGTCTTTTTGGTGACTCCTTGATTGCCTATGAGGAATGTCTTTGCAGTAGGGAAGAGATGCTTATGCTGGTGAGCTGATACTGATTCTGGAGTCTGCCCATGCAAGTTGCAGTCATGGTCAGCTGCATTAAAGGAACTGCTTGGGTAGCAAAAATGGGTGGTTTTCAAGGAGAAACTGGATACTTCACCCACAGCTGTTACTGAATTGGGTGCACATCTGGAGTTATAGTTTCCCAGTCTTTCTTCTAACTTGAAACTCTCACACTCCAGACCCTTACTCCTTTCTACATTTTTTCCCCTCCTTTCTCCCATTCCCAGTGACTAGTCTAATGCTCCCCAGGTTGGGAAATACCAGTCAGCATAGAAGGTGATGGGGGAGATTCCATCATTCTAGAATAACATGGGCAATGACCTGGTGTTTGCAAATAACAGGGAGGGAGGGGGAGGAAGGACTGTCATCCTGCTTGTTAAACCTGTTGACTTCTTGCAACATGAAAAGTCTTAAATATCATTAGGATGAAAAGCATAAGCAAAACAGAAAGGATAAAGGAAACTATTGCAGAACACTCCAATAATGAAGTGGTATGGGGAACAGCATAGTTGTGCATATTGTACTCTTGAAAGGCATTGGTAAGGAACTAATAATTGCGTATGCAAGTTCTCACTAGCTTACCCACTTACATTTATTTTTGAAGGAAATTGTCTTCAGTCTGGAGTCTATCTTGCAAAACTCACCACAATTGATTTCTTCATGGAAGGACTGAAGAAAACATAGATTGTCATGGCTATTGTTAAAGTGGATTTCGATACTTGAGTAGTTTTGTTCCTGATTTAATAAAAGAACTGGGAATCCTCTTCTAGAGCTAACCAAAATGATACAGGAATGTGTTTGTTTTAAAATCACCGTATGTGTGTTTCAGAAAGACTCATCTGGCTCCCTACCTGCCTACCCATCCTGTCGTTGCGCTGCAGCTTAATGAGAGTGCATGTCCATTGGGTACAATCAGCGCTGCTCCTTGGGGTTCCAGTGCTATATTGCCCATTTCCTGGGCATATATCAAGGTATGTGGTGTCCCCCCCCACTCCCCCGGTAATATTTATTTTTCCTGGTGTGGTATTTCTACATTGGGGAAGGTGAAATGGAGTATTTTTAGACCTATCCAGCAATCATGCTTTCAAACGGATTCACATTTCACTGAAAATGATGGCACTGATTCACATGTTCTAATTACAGATACAGCATCTCTGTAAACTTGTTACAGCTTTCCCTGTCTGTCTTCTAACCCTTAACACAACCCATCCTTCACTGCATCTCTGTTCTACATTTCGTCTCCTTTTTCCCATCCCCGGTGACTAGTCTCATGTTCCCCAGGTTGGGAAATGTCAGTCAACAAAGATTTTGGCAGTATCAAGAAATGTCCATGAAAACTTACTAACCCAAGGAAAAAAATCTAACTACTTGCACTTTATCTCAAGGAATTCTATTTTCCTTACATGTTAAAGGAGGAAAAATATTTTACTTGGGCAAGTAGAATGTAACAATGCTGATTAATGCCATCCCCCCCCAAAGACATGCACATCATAAACAAAATCAAACCAGTGCCTGTTAGATGTCCTAGAGCAGATTTCAGGAATAAATTTCAGGAATAAATCTCATTGTCTCTCTGGGTGCTGCTTCTCTAGATAGGGCAGTACAATTAACTAGTGTCCTAAATGAACACCTGCAATCTGTTTAATGACCTTGCTTGTTTCCTTTTAATATTTCTTGGGCCAGAGTTATAGCCACATATATAAGTAGAATATATCCAAGAAAGAAGCTTGTCCTTCTATTGTTTCTCAAAAACAATAGTACATTTAATTTCTTACCTTGTCTTAATATGCTGCAGTATGGTATTAAAAACGTTAGCAACATGCAGCAGCTAGTAAATGTTTTCAGGAAAGTGGCATCTTCAGGAGACAAAAGGTCTCAGGTGGAATCTCACCTATGAAAATCAAATCTGATTATAGTTTTTATTAGGGTACGTGAAAACTTGACTTTAGGGTTTATTTATATTTTTTGGAACAGAGTGAAACTTACAGCCTGTTCATACTATGTTAGTCGTGCTCATTTGTTACGCACCCAGTAAATTAACTATGAGAAACATGCATTCTGATACCCTGTGTAACACTTTGAACTGATATTCAAGGGAGAAGGGGATAGCATGCCTGGCTTTAAAAGTGGAATAGATGGATCCCATTTGTTCAGTTTTGCAGCTAATTTGACATCTTATTTAGTAAACATGATTTAAAATGTGCTTCAGATTCCGGAATTTGAAATGAGCAAATCTAAGTATACAAATGCCTAATTCCCATCAATACATAATGCTCCTTAGTATTGTAAATTGATTCCAATTTTGAAATATTCACACTGGAGCATATTGTTAAGTGCAGGTATCTCCCTGCTCTTTCATGCTGAGCATAGATAATAAAATGTGAACAGAATTTTGGAAATCCAGAGGTGCGTTTGGCCATGTGTCATCCCAGGAAACCTTTTCTGCTCAATTTAAAGCTATTGAAGGGCTGTTGTGTGAATTAGCCTGTTTGCTAAAAAGAGAACAAATCCTTACTGATATACCAATGTTCCTTTTCATATGAGGGAATGTGCTCAGTTTGTTTTTGTCAATTTAATGTAATAGAAAACTAAATATTTGAGTGAAATACTAAAACTTGCCCACGCTAATCACTGTAGAGAATCTTAGTGAAACCAGAAATACCTTGTGTGCTGGTGAATTTATAAACTGACATGTATAACCTATGAGACTGTGTTCATTGCTTATGGGTAAGAGGTTGTTTCACACTTGTGTTCTATAGTGTTTTTGCTCTTTTCAGATGATGGGTGGAAAGGGTCTTAAACGTGCTTCCGAGATTGCCATATTAAATGCTAACTACATGGCAAAAAGACTAGAGAAACACTACAAAGTCCTTTTCAGAGGGGCAAGAGGCAAGTATTGAACTTACTTTGTCTCCTGACATTCTAGTTTCTCCCAGTATCCTATGGCAGTTGGGATTGTAGATACTGCGTTTGTGGTTTTTTTTTTTTTTTTTAAACTGAGGAAGTTGTTTTTTTCAATCCCACTCTGAAATGCGGTGCATGGCAGAGGAGAATATTTAGTACTAATTCTAGACAGGAGTCAAAATGAAGCTAAGGTATTGGCAGAGGAGAAAACCACGCTGATAGTAACTAGTTGCAACAATAAAACTTGTAAAATGAGTCTTCTGCCTGTCTTTGAATCACAGATTGTTTTCCTCAAATTGACAATTATTTTAATTTAAATAGTGAAGAACAGTGTTCTAAATAGGAAGTAGTGAAGCTATAGTAATTCTATATACTATGAAGCACAATAAGCAAAGATGATATAAATGATTTCTTGTTCATACACCCTTTTATCATCCTAAAATGCCTGTAGTGATGGTTTAGGAGACTAATTTTTGGTATGAAATGTAACTTTTAGGGGAATGGTTTAACTGTTGCTTGCCCATTTTTTTTATTTTAAAGACAGGGTAGAAATTGTGAAGAATATCAGATTGCAAGTTTCAAGTCAATAGAAGACCTTATTTTTGAGACTGCCTATTTCAATTGAATGACATTAAAAATATCCAAAATGCATACCACATCATTCAACCATTGTGTGTAGATATGTAAATTCTTTTAAATCTGCTGACAATATTTTACAAATGAGAACTGTAGTTTACAAATACAAAACTAAACTTTTGAAAGGTCGATGAATGAAAATGTTCAATCTTCTGTTCAAGAGTAACCCAGTTTATCTCGAGAATTGATGGAAATGTATTTCAGTCTCTCAGATCATACTTGCATGATATTTTCTTTGTTACTCACCCAAGAGATAGTAATATCCTGCTTTTCTGAAAGAGCTGAATACAGTTTTCTTCCTCAGCCCATCATCAACTCTCAACGTTGGTTAGAGGGAATCATACGAAAAATAAATTAGCTGGGTTTTTTTTTTCCAGAATTTGAGCATGCTCGTTTCTCAGGACCTGCTGATTTGGGTAAGCTTGTGACCCAAATACTAATCATGTGGCAGTACAATGCTGCTGCATTATTGGACAGGACTGAGAAGGGCATGTACTTAATTGTACAGGAAGAAGGGCATGCACATAACAAGAATTCATTATTGGAGCATTAAGCTTACATATAAAAGGAGCAGCAGTGAGCATATGTCTGATTCTCTTCTTGATAAATCTAATAAGCTCCAACACGAAATGTTGCTTCTGTATGTGTATCAGGGAAATTTGTTTTCAAAGAAGTGTGGCAATGGAGAGGAAAGGGGAGGGGAAGTAACTATTCAAGTACACTTCTAGTTCACAACGTCTCTTAAATGTTCACACATGAAACTGCACTCTCCAACAGGATGTTCCTTGTGCATCCTTAAGACATGCTCTGCCGAAGCCACAGGAACAGAAATGCGGAGTTAAAATTAAGACCAATTTGTAGTTCTCGTTTTCTCCCAAAAAATGAGATCAGTGTACGTAAACTTTGTTCGCTTCCAGGTTATGTAGCTCATGAATTCATTCTGGACGCCAGACCATTCAAGAAAACAGCAAATGTTGAAGCTGTGGATGTTGCAAAGAGGCTTCAGGACTATGGTGAGAGTCTAAAAAGGACATGTCATTTACAGCAATAAGGGCCAAAATTTCTTAAACATACCTTCAAGGGCTCAGAAAGATTCTAGGCTTCTAATGTTCTATAGCCGCATAGCGGCTTCTATAATAGAACCCTATAGTCCCTATGTTGATGGTCTTTAGATGCTGGAATGATGCCATTGGGGCTATGGGCATCCCAGCACAGATGCTGTTCAAAGTACACGCAGACAGGATCTTAGGATCTGCCTTAGTCCAAGAACTTTTTAGGATTGAAATAGGATTAAACCTCTTTATGGAAAATGGGAGCATCTATACTTATATTAAATAGTTCAAATCCTCTAATTTTTTAAACATTCTTTTGTTTCGTGGTTTAGGTCAGCCTCTTGATAGAGGTTAGGCAAGAAACTCCATGCAAAATATTCCTTAGCCATTATGCCCTTTCTTGCACCTTCCACTGAAGCATCCACAACTGGCCACTGTCAGACAGGGACTACATGGACCACTATCGCTGGTCTGATCCTCTGTAGCAAATGTTAACAGTTACGCTGTTAACATGGGCAGATATCCCTAAAGTGCTATCCAGTAAGAGAATCACAATAAAATAGCTAACCCTAAAATCAGTTAACTGTTCAGTACCAGGAAATAAAAAACCCTCTTTGCTCTCTGTAACTGTCTGCTTGAAAGAGAATCTATTACACCTCCGCACCTACCAAATTCATGGCCCATTTTGCTCAGTTTCATGGCCATAGGATTTTTAAAATAAATTTCATTATTATAATAATTGGAGGATCCTGACCCAGATAGGGTTGCTGGAAGTAGGGGACCACAAGGTTATTGTAAGGGGGAGGATTGGTGGTACTATTCTTAGTTCGACAATGCCACTGGCCATGGTGCTGCCTTGAGAGCTGGGCATCTGGAGAGTAGTGGCTGCTGGCCAGGAGCCCAGCTCTAAAGGCAGAGCCACTGCCAGCAGCAGCGTAGAAGGATAGCCTGGTATGGTTATTGCTACCTTTACTTCTATGCTGCTACTTCCCCCTCCCTGCAAATCCCTTTTGGGCCAGCGGCTCCAATTTGAGAGAGACTGGTCTACTCCCTTGAAATCTGTAAAAGTACACACAAAAGATCAAATTTCACTGAGGGAGACCAGATTTCATGATCTGTAATGTGTTTTTCATGGCCATGAATGTGGTAGGGCTCTAGTTTACCATTTAAAAATAGACAGGTAATATCTACAATATCTGATATGGCTCATTCCAGTCTAGCTTCTTACAGG